AGCTGGTAACATCGCTACTTTAAGATTTAAGATAGGGGAGGCAGTTAGGTAATCAACGACCTTGTCCTCCCGTCTGTCCGTCCATCAGAGAGAGAGAGAGAGAGAGAGAGAGAGAGAGAGAGAGAGAGAGAGAGAGAGAGAGAGAGAGAGAGAGAGATTATGAATATATTTTGGAGGCATTTCTTTCAGTATTCGAAACTCGGTAGAGTGCGAATTGAATTTCTCTAACCTGTTTGATAGTATTGATTGTATTAAACTATTACTTCTGCCCACTATTATCAAGATTCTACTACAGAATCCAGGGATAGCACAGTCTGTTCTATATACAGACAATGTGATTTTCAAGCGATGGAAGAAAATTTTAAGTTCAATATCATATAAAACTTGTTTAAAACTGTATTTCCAAATGCTGTGGTTACAGGGGCCAATGATGTGTCAAATTACCTCCCTTAGTTCCAATGCGCATGCCCACAAAATATTCCTGTTCTGAATAATTCAGAATCTTAGCTGTACTACAGATCATTATGGTTAAACCAATGAATAAATTATAATTGTCTAATATCTTTTGTTCATATAGGAGAATAATTATAGACATTAACATCAGATAATTAGAATCGGTGTCCATACTTTCATTATATCTGATAATTAAATAATATTTACTGTCGATACCTCAATGATATCAAATAATTAATTGAAATATAATGTCCATATTTATATTATGCCAGATTATATATATTCATAATCCATAATTTCGAATACATTTGCAGGAACATTTAATTTTGCTCTTCGATTGTAAAAATCTATTGCACATTATTGGCTGCATAACTTTAACGAAAATCACCTCAATAATTCGTACTTTTCATACGTTGATATGTAATTCCTTCTCAGTTATTTTCTCAAGGCTAATAATTCGCTTATAACACGAGTTAAGAATGTTATAATAAGAGTTCGATAAGAAAATTATAACACGAGTTCGATACGTCAGCTGGTCTATAATCCTGAATATTTTAGACCAGATTTTTTAATAAAAAAAAATAGAACAGTATATTAATGTATTCAGAGAAACTTAACAAAGTAATAATTACATTAGCTATTATAAAGATAAAGGACTGTAATTAATTTAGATGGATTATTTATTCATATTTGGGTGTAAATATTGTACAGTATATTTATTCATATTTGGGTGTAAATATCGTACAGTATTCAGATTAATTAACATGCCCAATGACTTTTTTTTTTGTTTATTTTCTTTTTGGTTGTGGTGGGGAAAAGGGTTCTCACATCTTTGAACAATCAAAAAAGTATTTCCTCATACACGTATTTTTTTCTTGCCTTGTCCAGTCAAATATGGCCATGCATTCATTCAACCTAATATTTAATTATTTACATTTCTCGCTGGTTTTCTCAAAACTTAAAACATCAAGCATCCGACGGTGCATGCAATAACTTTCAGCATGATTTTTCTTTGCCTATGCTTACACATTGTAATAACTCTCAAATTTGCTGGAGTATTTAGACAAAATTTCTCATTGCCACCAGCAAATTCATCTGGAACAGCTTTCTTAAATTCAGTTTAATTCTTTTTGACTTTCAATGCGTCAAATATGCAAGTTTAAAATATCAAATTATATCACAGATTAAGTCCTATTACTTTGGTTCGCCTTTTAAAACCAATATTGCTCCACGTGACCGGATGTAAAATTGCAGACCAGATGATTTAAAAAGAGACTGTTTGTAAGAACATTCTCTTCCAGTCAATAATAAATTGATAGTCCTAAATATTCCTATTTGATGTCTTTATCTATCAGTCACTCTTTCTATCCTGGCACCTTTATAGATATGGTCACACTAGAGCGCATTCACACTAGGGCGCGGGGAAAAAATGAAGTTCAACATGATTTAATTGCCATCACGTTTGAATACTTACAGTCATGTATTGTTTCTATTATATTAATATTCTTTTTACAAATTTTCATAACTATTTTTTTTTAATCACGTGTCCCTATTTGACACGTTTTGAATTGGCTAGTTTTTCAAAGGTATACAGGTGTTACATTTTGGGGGTTTACTCCCGGAGCCGTCAAACGCAATGCCTAAGTAAATGTTTTGCTGTGTTTTTTTTTTGAACGTAACACATGTTTTTACAACAAAGACACGAACCTGTCTTAACCAAACAAACATAAGCCGACTAGCTCTAATGGGACTAAAATATTTTTGGCCCTCTAGTGGGATAAGCTCAAATGGAGTGCGATCTAAGGAGACTTTACCACTTTATAGGTTGTTTTTTTTTTTTTTTTTAAAACCAGAAGTATATTTATGTAAGATACGTATGCAAACACATTCATTCAAGCATATACATACATATACATACCCATGCACCAGATGAAATGAGACAGACAGACAGACCTATAGACAGACAGGCAGATAGGTGAGAGCCACAAATGTCATTTACATGTATAGTGTGTCTAATATCAATATTTCTCCAAATTGTATATTGTAAAAATTCCAACCGTTCAATGAAATAAAAATAAAATAATCATTAAGGAGACTCATACATGCCACTGTCTGTTCAAGCGTCGATGACAGTTGTGCATTTTGAAAATAAGGTGACAATTTTTTAAAAATATTTTTTATACTATATTACTGTTGGCAATTTGCGGAATCGTGGTATTTTCCGCGCATTGTAACACTACCAGCTTATGATATGTAATTTATAAACATCACAGTCGAATTAAAATTTGTAGAGAATTACATGCATAAAAAATTCTATTTATGGTCTCCTTTAAGAAGTTAGAAATCTTTCTCGTTGTCGTTCAACTACCATTAACTGCAATGATTAAAGCTGTAATAAACATATTTTCATAATTCTTCAAGCGAGATAAATTGCAGTAGGAATTATTTTATATAGCGTTACACTTGCGCACAATCAAATAAAACAAACTTGAGCATGAGGTAGTAATGTGAAGATAATGAAGTTTTTAAATGGACAGAGAACATTTATTTAAAAGCTGGGAACAGCGCAAGTTACTGAGAAAATAAAAGATGAAAATACAATTGCTCAAATATTGATAGAATTTCTTTTTATGATGGTGATATTTTGATCTTGCTTGCGGCAGGGGAGATGTCTGTCCCGTTTTCTTTTTAGTATCTACATCTGCCATCTTTATTGATTGAACTATCCGGAAGTGAGTTATCCCCAGTCGCCCTAGGATGTTTTCATGGGGAGATCATAACCGTGAAATGGTCTACAAGATTCACTCTTTATATTGATATTTACTAGTCGGTGATCATCTCTAAATAACGATAACCAAACCTTACAACCCACCTCAACAAAGTGGATGGTGGGGTGGTGGATGAGGTAAGGTTTGCAACATTACCAATTATCAGATCCTTAGCAACCTCACCCATTCCTATAAAAAAAACCCAAACCATTATCTAAGCAGTAAACCAAACTACCAATTATGGTCAAAACCCCACAAAGTGTCCCAATCGTTAATTTAGTGTTATTTAAGTGCATAATATTTGGGTCGATCGGAATATTTAGCAGTGCTTCAATACGACTGTATCATTACGAAAGTTAAGGAAAAAATGAATACATGAAAGCATGAATAGATGAAAGTGTATAGGTATAATGCATATCCAGTTGGTAAAATGCAAATATCAGATAGTCCAGTAAACACGTGATATAAACAATGTAATATTTTTTTTTGATTTATATATCAGTTTATAATTTGAGTTTTTAAGACATATCTATTCAACAGCATGATACCAAATAATATTTAAAATGGTTGCTTTTACATGCACACAGCAAAACGTGAACCTTTTTGTAGCACTAATTTTTTTGCAATCTCTCTCTCTCTCTCTCTCTCTCTCTCTCTCTCTCTCTCTCTCTCTCTCTCTCTCTCTCTCTCTCTCTCTCTCTCTCTCTCTCTAGCACGCTCCATTATAACACGAATTCGTATCTAACACTGTCGTGGTGTGGTTCCGAAAATTTAATATACATGTATTTTTCTTGTACAAAAAAAATTTCTTTGTTAAAAGTACGAAAAAAAAAAACCCGGTAAAAAGTTTATTATCATTTTGGGGAAGAGAGTATGTAATACAGGATGATTGTGGCGTTACTCCTGAAATTTTATGTGTATTTTTCTAGCACACGTAAAAAGTTTTCTTTTCTTAAAAGTACGAAAAAAATGTGTAGAAAGGGTTCGCGCAAGGCTTCACCAAGGTCGCAAATTAGGATTGTTTTCTTTAATAGCGGCAAAATAAACCTTTTGGTGATTTTTGTTTTCTTTTATTGGCGACCTGGTGGGCTGTTTAAACTTGTAGGTACCGTCATTGTTTGGGAAGGGAGAAATCCAAAGGCCCCGAGAAAGAAAGCCACAAATGTGAAATTGTTACATAACAAAGTCTTTGTCCTTAATGGCATCTTAGCAGCACCTGGTTAGATCATAATCCACTTATTTGGATCTTTAACTCCAGGCTAGGAGATTTCCGCTTTTTGTGGTGGACATTTCTGCCCTCGGGGATAAACCAAACCAGGCTTTATCTCTTAATCTACCTTTCCCGGGATTTTCGGCCACTCACTGGTAATTAATATTTACACCTACTGACCTTTATGTGGATGGTAAAGAAAAGTTCTTTGGTTCATTCAAAATCAAATTCGTCGGAACTCTCCCAAGTGTGTGTGTGGGGGGGGACACCCGGGGATACAGCCCAGGAACGAAGAACACTCTTAAATTTATATAAGAAATAATTTGTTTGTACAAAGAACTGTTGTTGTGGTTTGGATTTTTCACGTAGCTTTGATAATTTTTCAGTCATATCGCTACGATGTTTGCAGTGGGGCAGTTTATAAAAATGTCTAGCACTGGGACATCATGCCGCAGACATGTAGCATGATGTCCAACCCTGCTACATTATCCTGATACCAGGTCGACCAGTCGTAACACTAACCTCCTAAAAATGCAGCTGTTAGTGCCATTTTTTTGTAAGTATTTGGTATGACTGGACCGAGGATCGAACCCACGAACTTCCGCACCTGAGGCGGAGACTCTAACCACTGGGACACCAGAGCAGAAACAAGAACTATGAAAAGACAACACTGAGAACACTCATATTTTCCACAGTAATCCCTGTCATCAGACAAGAACACGTCTCTATCTTCTGTTGGCCCTCTTTAAAATTTCTGATGCATACGATGAAGTTAGCATCACACAAATCGAAAAAAAAACAACAAATATGGTCTATTCAATAGGTAAGGGAGTAATAGTAACTACAATCGTCAAAACGACGGAAATTCCATTAATAAAGCAGTTCCCTGAAATTTCAAAGAAAACATTGTTTTAGATGCAGCGATTATTATATGTTAACGTACTAAGCAAATGTTTTTAAAAAAATCAGCCTCGATAGTGCAATACAAGTATTTGATATTGCCGCCACGAAAAGAAACGGGCCTTTCTTTGGTTTCCACAGGCTGTCGAGAGCGCTGACTTCAATGACGTCTACCCAACTATCATCAAAGAAAGCCGACTAGTCTTCAACAAAAACAAAGAACCCTTCTTCAAAGAAAGTCCGGACCAAATTTAAATAAAAAAACAATGGAATCTGATGGATTGTTTCATTTTCTAACGGGGTTGCTTAAAACGCAGACTAACCCTTACCGCTTTGGTGGGTTCTGAAAAATTAGTATGATCGTCATTTAATACGTGGTTGTGCTATTTTTATTCTACGCTATTCATGCTATACATTTTACTTCCATGTAAAATAGCATACACGTACATGTACCAATGTGAGGTTCTCTAAATAAAATAAATTATTATATATGCCTTTTCTGCTTTTCACTACCGACGTATTTATTCATTTAAAATGATTTAAGATGATAACTGTGCCAAGGAAGCACATAGTTTTGCTTGCGCATTTATGAGAGAGAGAGAGAGAGAGAGAGAGAGAGAGAGAGAGAGAGAGAGAGAGAGAGAGAGAGAGAGAGAGAGAGAGAGAGAGATGAATCTGATGCTAATATATCTTGAAATATTGCATAGATTAAATGGAACAGAAAGTCTTTTATACTTTTTAAAAATTGCAAACACCAATGAACTTGGGTCTCATTTTACAACTAGCTAATATTTTCCGGAATATCTAAAAAATATTGCATATTCCCCTCAATAGTGCGTACGGGTCATTTAATATTCAATTAATGTGGCTAATTCACATTTTGTAACAATATGAAATTTGTTTAAAAAGGTTATTTATTTTGATATTACTACAATTACAAGAGTCGTTGCAAGTGAGTTATTTGCGTGTCTGCTATTTAAATGTTTGTTGATATCATAGGCGATCACATTACCCAGTACTGTTGTTTAAACTCTAACAAAAGTCAGACTAAAAAAAAAACCATAATAATTTCAGCCGCTTTTTTTCTGCCGGGACTTAAAATATAAACTCGTTGAATTTCATGTGCAAGTGTTAGTAGAATAGAAGTTTTCTGGATGTGAAACACAAAATTCGTAGTGTCATTTTGTTAAATAGCCACGATAGCTGGTAAAGAAATTCTTTTTTTAATAATCTAATATGCAAAATATGAAACTCTAGATAACAACCTTAATAGGATTAGTTTTGAAAAACTACACGACTTTGTGAAGTATATATATATATATATATATATATATATATATATATATATATATATATATATATATATATATATATATATATATATATATATATATATATAGGTCCTATGATTTATTAGAAAAACATTGTTTTAGGGCACAGAGTGCCATCGAAACGGGAACCAGACATGGTGAAGCCAACGGATATATTGTCTGAGAGAAATAGCCGAGAACATTCCGATTTAGTCAAAAAGTGCGTTCCAGTAGCCTGGTTTCCTATCGTTAAAGCATTATATATATACTTATAACAAGATTTGAATGGAAAGAGTACGTAAGTTAGAGAAGCAGACTAGTGTTCGAAGCAGAGCAATGATGGAAGTAATTAACTGAAATCAAATGCAGACACAATGATACATAAGAGATGAACGTTGCTTTATATGAAGACATATCAGGTATGGTTCATTGTGAATTTGTAGGAAAGAACATGTATAAGTATAATTATATTGCCTGCAAACTGTAGATTTTGATGCTCCCTAATATTGATACTTGTTCAACCCTGTAGTATTTGCACTACTCCCTTAAGTTCTTACCCCTAGCAATTTTAAGAACAAACTCTTAAAGGGTATAAAAAACTAAAAAACTTAGTTAATTCATTAATCATTTTATAAATTCTAACATGACTCTCGCTAGGGTATTCTAAAGACTATAAACTTGTCTTTTCTAATGGAACTGGGCTTTTTCGATTTTAGTCACACGGTCGCCATATTTATTCGGAGAGTGTTTTCAAGCAGCAGAAGCGATTTAGTTCACTGTTTTTGATAATCAAAGTAATTATGTAAATTTTGGAGTTATATCTTTTGGAACTCACGTATACAAGAGTTTATCCTTTATATTTGTTTAATTTTGTGTGATTGAAGCATTAAACTATACTGGTTATAGAATAATTCTCGCTGTGTACCAATTGTCCCCACATTAATAACTCGACCGCACGCAAAGTTTTGGTTCCTGTTTAAAAAAAATAAATAAAAAGAGTGATCATAGCTGAAAAGCACGATCAAAATAAGCATCAGAATAATATTATTAACAGTTATTATTATTATGGCGAGAATTGGTCTTTAACCAGTACAAATTTTACTGAAATGGAATGTTACATAAATCAGAATAGTCCGTTTCATGGAGAGCTTCCAGTAAGTTGACATTGTTTGGTGGAAGTAACTGAAACAAGGTTATATTGTTTTGAAATAATTTTTGACATTTATGAATGGAATCAATTATAACTTGGTTGATTGATTGAATCAGTGCATATTTTTATATCTTTTTATAAAAACTTGCAGACCCTAACATATGAGATAAAAAGCACAGACTGAGTAGGACTTTAAACATAACCCAAATAAAGATAGCATTTTAGAGTGCAGGAATTTGTCAGCATGTGTTATAATTTGCTTTAGTTGAGAACCCTGAAGAGGTTTAGTTTGTCAGGCATGTTTGAGGATACCTTAATGTGACACAGTACATTTTATCAATAAAGTCCTGAAATTTGGGATCAAATTCCAATGTGAAATTTAAAAAAAAATTGCTTATGCATTGTGTTTATTTTATCAAAATAATGTTATGTGCAAGACATTTGTTTCACAATTATGAATGGTAACACTGATTACCCTGAATGAAATTATTTATACATTTATACTTTTAATTTCTGTTGAGGGTAAGGTGGTAACTAAAGGAACATTGGTATACATGTTGTTACATCATATTGCCCAATATGCCCTTGAGTGGAGCACCCTTATATGGTATTGCCCAGGGAGGTTAAGAAGGATTACATATTACATCATATTATATCATATTTTGGACAAAGCCATTAAGAACATACATGTTACATCATATTGCCCAACAGTCCTTTTTACTGGAGCCAATTGTAGGTGAGATCATTTTTTCCTACCCAAATTACCTGTAGAGTTAAGTTAGGAAATTAAATGCCACAAACCACTCTTTTTGAACAGCTGTGATGTATGATATCCTGTCATGATAGCATCCTTGAAAGCATGACTATTGGAAATAACCATAACATATTGGGTGAATATTTTAGTGGTACTTATTTTATTCCAGCTCACTTAATTATATATCCCTGTTTTTTCTCAATTGTTGACTTAAAATGAGCACTTAAGCTTTTTTTTAAAAAAAAATCTACAAATACTGCCATTTTTACACATGTAACTATTTAAGATTGAAATCTGAAGTATTTTCAAATTTGAAATGAAACTCAAACAATATTCCACTATAACTGGCAAGAAACTTTTAATTAATTGTTTTATGAGCTAGCTATATCTGAATTGTAACTTGCAAATTATTTGCTTGCTAATGTGCATTTTGTGTTCAACCATGACATGCTTTGTGCCATAATATTTCACTGTAAAGATTGGATTTAAATTTACAGTGATATTTTGTTATAAAGTTGTACATAGCATATATTAAGTGATATTCTGCTTTAAAGTTGTAGTGTTTAAATTAAGTGATATTCTACTGTAAATTTGTACATGCATAACATTTAAATATAAGTGATATGTTGTAAATTTTTAATGTTTAAATTAGCAGTGATATTCTACTGTAAATTTGTGCAGTGTTTAAAGTAACAGTAACTTACTATTGTAAATTTTTACATAGCATTTAAATTAACAGTGATATTCTACTGTAAATTTGTGCAGTGTTTAAATTAACTATTGTAAATTTTTACAAAGCATTTAAATTGACAGTGATATTCTACTGTAAAGTTGTACATAGCATTTAAATTAAGTGATATTCTGTTTTAAAGTTGTGCATCAAGTTTAAATTAACAGTGATATTCTACTGTAAATTTATACATAAATATGGTTTAAGTTAATGGTGATATTCTGTTGTAAATTTGCAGTGTTTGAAATAATAGTGATATTCTGCTGTAAAGTTGTACATATTGTTTCAATTAACAATAATATTCTTTTGTAAATTTGTACATAGATAAAATTAAAATTAGCACTGATATTCTATTGTAAATTTGTATAGTGTTTAAATCAAAGTGATATTCTATTGTAAATTTGTTGTTTAAATTAAGTGATATTTAGCTGTAAAGTTGTAGATAGCATTTAAATTGTGATATACTGATGTAAATTTGTACAAAGATAGCCTTTAAATTATGTGATATTTTATTGAAAATTTGTATGTAGCATTTAAACTAACAGTGATTTGTAAATAGTGTTTAAATTAAGTGATATTCTATTGTAAATTTGAACTTAGCATTTAAAATAAGAGTTTTGTACGTAACATTTAAATTAACAGGAATATTCTGATATAAATTTGTACATAGTATTTAAATTAACAGTAATCTATTGTAAATTTGTATATAGATAGCATCTAAATTAATAGTGATATTCTATTTTAAAGATGTACATAGCATTTAAATTAACAATTATATCCTTTTGTAAATTTATACATCC